CTCACGAACACGAAACGCGTACGGTTTATGTTGACTTTTTTAGCAAGTTTCACTTTGCGTTTTTGGCTTATATGTATCACACAGATATTTTTTACTTGTTTGAAATGAAAATAAAAGATATATATGTTCAAAATACGATAAATTGAGAACACAATAACGCATTGACTTAATCCAACGTTTCTTAATTTTAGTTTTGTTGTGAAAATTGGTGTGAAAACTTTTCAAAACATTCAAGTAGAGTTTGACTTTTCATATAAAACAACTCGTAACTGTCTGCATTATAGTTTTATTGGATTCAGCAGATAAAAAACTACATGTGAACTGAGTTGAATGACAGGATTTACGTGAGTTTCAGTGCTAGTTCAGGAGTGCCTCTTGCCTTGAAGACAGTATAAAATATCATTTCAGTCCGTGACACTGTTGCCGAACATTGTGAGCATTGTGAAATACAGTACTGAACGTATTAAATATATTAAAAAAAAACACACTGAAGGTAGGTAAAAAACCAGCTAACAACATACGTACTGTTCGAATGTTGAAAAGTTTAGGATTATAATAAAAAACTGGCGTTTTCTTTGTAGATAAAAATGCAAAAACAACTTCCCGCGGCTTGTTTCAAGATTTTTACCGGGCCACAAAGCTTCCACGCGCGAGTCGCGAGGATGACGTCTGAGCTATATAAATGTTTTAAACTGGACTGTAACTGTAGGGAGCCACCTTAAAACAAGTAAAACAGGGCTTTAACCTTCAGAGCAATTTTGATCAACTGTGCTAGAAAAATTAGCTGCACGGCTTGAAATGCTAGCATACGTTACAAGACGTGACAATATGCATTTTGCCGTCGTCAACAGAGCCTGGACGACGTCTGGAACTCCAGCTATACATTTAATTATTCATTTCTTTTGTGCTATAGGATTAATGACATTATATAGATAGCCGTCGTCCTGGCGTTCCCGTCTTACATGCGTAAACTCCATATTGCATGACTGTGTATAAAAATAACATGTTGGCGTCCCACGGTCTAGAAAGGTTTTGTGTCAGGCACTATTTAAAATTAGGGCCTGAATTTTAGGTTACCACATCGCTGGCTCGGGTTCCAGTCGTTCCAGGTTACTATACAGATCAGTTTTCAAGATGGCGGCCATTCAATGAGTGACTATTTCAGTCTCAAACAATTTCTTTTTTGCAGTAGCCAAGGCAGCCCGACAATTTGGTCATGCTATGCAAATTTTAAATCATTATCATTATTCATTTCTTTACAAATTGATTGTTTTCACGGTGTATGAACACGGAAATATTTGCATAGCATAACCGAATTGTCAGGTTGGCTTCGCCACTGCTTTTTTGTCAACGAATTTTCCCACTTTTTCTGTCGATTTTGGATTTATCCTACTCTGAATTTTCTTGGAAGTTGACTTGGTGTTTTTTTTCGTGCAACGTTTCTGGAAATGCGATGTCTGGATCGCTAAGTTTTTCGAATTTTATACGTTACAGACTCACGGAATGTAAACAATGTTGTCTGCGTGAGCGCAGCGCATGCTCGGAGACGATATGCACTTATGGATAACGTTTGTAATTGTGAGTAATACTTGTGTTTCGTTGGACATTACGAAAACATCTCCTCAGGATCACGCCACGCTTTCAGCCTTTCAATAACAAGACGCCTGCTCAGGCGTTCACAATGGTACAATAGACAAGAATACAAATCGTGAACCGCAAACGCAAAGCATAATGGTCTGTTAATAAAATACTCACATGCCCTTTGCTGCATCCAACAAAAGCCGTTGCGGCATGTTCAATTCCAGAAATGTTATTGGATACGCTATAACTACAAGTGGAACATAAATTCTAAAATTAAAAGGTTTGCTATATTAAATACCTAACCCAGATTTTTTTATTCTTTTCTGTTAACGCTCAGCGATCATATTTTTCAGTTTTAGGTGCAAAAACCACGGAAGATATTTTTTATTACATTATCCAATGTATGTTTGATATATAACTGATTTCTTGAAAAAATAGTCATTCACCGTATATATTATGATCTATTCTGGAATAGAATGGAAAACCTTTTATTAATTATCTAAGCACGCTAACCACGTCAACAAGTGCTGCATGATTCCCACGTGGGGCGTGCATAAATGTACAAAATTTTGTTAAAAAGGTAACCATTTATACATGCACGGTGTCAAATGAAAGTGCAATTTGTATTAAAGACCTATAATAGGGAAATATTTTTGCCATTTTGCCACAACACTCCGTTGACCACGTCATGTTCGATGATGTGAAATAATCTTGATATATATCTGCATGGTTGGTTGAGCTATAGTCACCGTATAAATTTTAATTATATGTACAATGCAGCAGCAGCGAATACAGAATGGCGGACAGTCTGAGTTTTGCGAACAAGAAATCAGTAATATACAAACAGAGGAAATTCTCTTTTTGAAGAAATAATATACTGAAAAAGGGCAAAATATTTACTTACTAAGTTGATCTATCTAGCCTTATCTTACCTTTTTGGACCCAATCAATGGAATAAATACAATAATGTAGTGCTCTTCCACATTTTGAATGCATTTTTACACTTTCTATAAGAGCAGTTGCTCATTGAAGGCTAACTTTAACGCGTTATTCCACAAGGGAAGCGTGCGTAAATGAAATATTCATGCATATTAAAAAAAAAACATAACGCTTCGACCGTTGGTTATAAAATACTAAATCTTGTAACTGTTCTTTTGTTCAGTGATGAAAGCAAATTCATATCAAGACCCCCGCCCCCAAATATACAATTATTCCGCGGTCCATACCTATAAACGCGAAAAGGTCTTTCCCTTGAGTCCCCCCCCCCCGCGCTTTGAGGAATTCTTAAAAAAATCTGAACAAAGTAATTTGTATTCAACAGCCCGTTAATTGTTTTACTTACAAAATCTTGAAATGTAGAACATCTTAAATTTCCAGTACATGTAAAAGAGTCTGTCAATGCAAGTACAGCAAGTGCAGTTTAAACCCGATGTGCGGAAATGACGGAGGATTCGAACAGTTATCAAATTACAAAATAATTTTTGTGAGATTACAGAACACAGATTCAACATAATATATAAACTTACCAAGAATGCGTGTTAACGTAATTCACAATAATTAAAAGAGTAATGACGTACTATACTATAAAACAATTATACCACCGCGGCCATTTGCTCTCGTTGTGTCTCGGTGTTACACACCTATAGCCTACCTCGTTAGTTATAGGCTATCAGGCATATTATATACAATATATATATACAATTAATTGTTAAATATTTCAAATGTATAAATGATAAAATAGATGTTTTCTGTAATACTGAGGATAGTAACATAATTATATGCAGCAGTATGTACCTGAAAGATCCTGAATAATCAAGCTGAATTGGATATTCCTTATGAAAAGCAAATCCCCGTGGACATGGTTTTCCAAAACAGGAATTCATCATTGTCTACAAAAATAGTTCAAAGGTTCTTTACTATATTTACAAGGTTTTTTTCAGTTCTCAATATGCCTCTATGTATGTCGTTGTCAATAAACTTTCTAACACATGCATGTTCATGGGGATATTGCAATTTTGTAGCGACCGTGTTTTTGTCCGGGCTTCAATAATCAATTTTGACCGTCAATTTTGTCCGGGCTTCTCAGCACCAAAAACGAAAGGTTAGCGCATTCTATCGCCAAAAAGTATGGAGTAACTAGATTTAATTCTCAACGACTTGCAGGAATGTAGAAAGTTTTTGGGATATTTATTGATCATTGACTATTGTCATACTCATTAACCCTATCGATCATTAATTGCACGACTTCAATGTCTTCGACTTGCCAGTGTGATTATTTACTTATTATATACATGCCAAAATTATTGATATTGCCCCCCCGTGCACTGGTATTGATGTCACGTTAGCAGAGAACACGGGTATATTTCAACTTACAATTTAGTCATTCACCGTCTATGAGCTGTTCTGCAATCTGATTGGTCGAATTACTCGCCGTATATCAGCTCATATACGGCGAGTGGCGAAAAACAAGATGGCGGTCCAAAAACTACATGAGTTTTGCGAAGCAAAAAAAATGAAAATATTCGCTTTGAGAAAGATTATAATAGTACAAGGAAAAACTCTCAAAAAAAATATGACAGGTTAGCAAAATACATTCATTACATATTAAATACAAGTTTTTTAAAGAATTAATACCGATTAAGTTGTGTAATTGTACACTCCGTAATATGTTAAGATGAAAATGTTCTATATATAGTGTGTATTTTCATCTTTATATATATATATATATATATATATATATATATATATATATATATATATATATATATATATATATATATATATATATATGCTAAAACAATTATTCACATCAGTGTCGGTGAATATAGTGCAAAGATATTCACTCCAATTAACGCTTCACGTTTCGGCGCATATCCTTGCATTACTCAACTCCACTTAAATAATTGTTAATTAAACCAGGGCGTAGTGATTAAACCAATATCTGTAGGAACCTGCATTATAAAAAAGGAAATAGCTACAAAAGGTATATGACTCAGAATAACAATAAATTTATACCTGGTCCAACATCCCACCGGGCACACGACGTTGTTTCAACATTGAAATTTGGTAGAAAAAAGGTTGCGACGTCGACAACCTAATATGTACGTTGCTCTGACGTTGTTTTACAAACATTGGTTCAACAGCAGCCAACAGACGTTGAATTAACGTTCATTCATGGTTATATGTACGACGTCGATTTGTGAACCAATCTCAACGTTGTTTTAACGTGGATTCAACGTTCAATTATGGTTGACGAGATTGGCAACCTAATTTCAACGTTGTTTGAACGTCGAAACAGTAACGTCGATCCAATTTGCATAGTCAACCCTTTTTCAACGACTATCCAACGTCTGGAAGGACATTTCGAACGTTGATTCAACGTTGGATAAACGTCATTTTGCCCGCTGGGATGCACTTACCCATCCAGTATTTGAACTCGGGTGATGACCGATACCAAATTTTGAGCATCGAAAAGTGGTGGTAAGTATATCTCCTGTCGCCAAGTTTTTCACATTTTCAACATCTCCGATACCCGGCGAATTTGGAGAACAACCTTTGTCGATAATCATGAGGTTTTTCAGCTTGCGAGGATTATGTAATCTATAAGCCCTGCAAAGTTAATCAACAAACAACTAAATCAGAAAAGACGAAAGTTGCTGACACATATTTATTATTATTATATACGCAAGGTCTGGATATGGGGTATTCTGCAATCTGATTGGTTCTCTACTAGCAGGATATTAGATCATATCCTGCTAGTAGAGAAAAGCAAAATGGCGGCTCAAACTGAATTTCCGACGTTTGCGAACGAGAAAACGGCAAGTTGTTCGCTTTTTATAGCTTTTACAGGATAAAAAACACAATGAAGAAACTTCCACAAATTGTTTACAGGTTAGCAAATGAATTTTTAAAATTTAAAATGGTCAAAAATATATATTTTTGAAAAAATAATCGGCCGAAAGAGCGAAGATTAAAACATAAACAAAATAGAAAAATATTGAAAATATCCGAAAAGCAAAGTCTGTGAATTCAGATCTTGTGTATATAATAAAACAGTTATTCCACTCACTCTCGTCGAATATAAGCGATAGCCGATTCGGCGCTACGCGCCTCATCGGCTATCAGCTCATATTCGACTCGAATTCGTAGAATAACTGTTAAATATCCTGAGGTCGACCAAATTGACGAAAAACGAGTTAATTAAAACTTTTAAAAAATAAAACCTCTCAAACCTCGATTTGAAAAACTTTTAAATGCGCTAATCCGTTCGAAGCCTACAAATTCAAGGGATAATATTCAAGCTTTGTGCAAGGCAAAGCTTGAAGACCTATAGATCTTCGCAATCACGCAATTGATCCAAAATCCGCACGAGGAAGTTGAAAAGAATTTATTTAAGAACAATATATATCTATTCCATGGAAGAAAACAAAAACCGCAGGCAGCAAAGCTCTGAAGTGACCTCATATGATTCCTAAATGTTTGCTCAAAAATTTCATGTGATGACGCGCGTTTTATGCATTCTGATTGGCTTAGAACAACTACATAATTTACTCAATGACTGTTTTTTTTTTGCTCGTTTTTCGTAGATTTGGCCAAAACTCAGGATAATGTGTCGACATTGTATTGCATCTTGTAGTCTGTAGACATAAACATTTTGTTTGTCGAACCATATTCAATATATAGGATATTTATTATATGACAAGTCTAAAAAATATACTGTATTCCTTGTCTTTTATGAAAGATTTGCATGCGTTTAGCGCTGTAAACGGCAAATAATTTCAGATTTTCAGATGCAATGAAAACAAACATCGTGAAACAGGTTACGAAATTGAATATCAAATTAGGAACAACTTAACACTGACGTCATCTTCCTTGAATTTGATTACCTTAGAAATTTTAGAAACAAACCTTACTGAATTTGTGCTTACGTTTAATAAAACGAAATAAAATGTTCATTTAAGTAAAATATGTGTTATGTAATAGCTATATAGTATTATCCTGTTTCACTCCGTTTCGTTTGCAATGCGTCGGTCACGCCTTAGTCACACCGTCAGTTACACTCTTATTTTGCAGCTAAATCTGTTTAAAGCCAACAAAATAGGTTGTAATGAAATGTAATGGTTACCATAGCAACGGAAGTAACATCAATATTGGTAAAAAATAAACTATTCAGATATAGTATTTTCTATTTCAGACACTGTTTGCTTTTCAACACGAATTTTACGAATTATTAAAAAATTACGCCCTAAACCGTAAATTTTCCTCTTGCTGAAAAACAGTAAGGAGCCACCTTAAAATAATTTAATGTCAACGTTTAAAAAATTTTTAACGCTAGCCTCTATTCATAGTTATTCTTACCAATGAGCCTTTGTTGTTGCAAAATTTTCTTTAGAAGCCATCTGAACCCTGAAATCAATAATATTAACCTCACCGAATGAACTGCACCAGTGAGGTTTACCAAATGGTTTAACTGGATCATCACTGGACGGAACCGACCATATGACGGACTTGTTTATTTTTCCAATAAGAATATATCCTCCACCATCTGTCTTCATGTCGCACCAAACCTTTTATAAATGAATTATAGTGTTCTGTTAACTGTATAGCTGCAGTGAAGTAGTACTAGAAGTGTATAATTCAAATATCAAAATTTTTTAAAGTTTCTCAAATTTTGAAGATTAACCTAAATTTAATTTAGTTGATTTAGTTGATTCTGTTTTACTCGGAATTAGTTTATGAATAAATTAAATGTCACATGGCTCTGATATAAATTCAATGTAACATGACTCTGAATACGACTTATGAAAGTAAAAAATAAAACAACCTTATTCATTTTCCTAAAACGTAATCTGATATAGAGGAAAGTTTGGAAAAATCAACTAAAACCTTGTTGGGTTTCTTGGTATTTAGTGTTATCCAGTAAAATCCATCTTTTGCCTCCGAGTTATGATCCAGTATTGACATACAATCGTATCCTGGATTAAATATTTCACCAGTTGGACCTTTATCTAAAAGGAAGACCTCTTGATTTCATTTATTATCCACATTCTGTTCTTTATTCATTATTCACAAATAATTCTATGCCACAGCAACTCAATGCAGAAAAAACAGATTTATTTAAATTTTGGAAGCTTTTTCTAAGCATAAGACTGAAATGACATCATGGAAGCATATATACTGCCATTTTAGGGACCATATATAAAGCTTGTAAGGCGGCAACGCAACGAAGCCAGCAAACAAACTCGTTGAACTATATATAATTGTGAAGAAGGCCAGTCATCTATTATCCATCGTACGAAATTAGGCCGAAAGTTTCAGGTTTGAGATCTAGATTAAAAGGGGGTTTACGGCTAAGATTTGTTTTAGGACTCAATTCGTCAGTTCACAGATTTCCGCCCTTGTTACTGTAAACTTTAAGGCTGATATACCATTATTTTGCGCTAAATTATTTGGCTTCCTTTCTCATTAATTTAAGGCATAATTCCTCTCCACTCATGCGCACTTCGTGAAATTTTCTTCATGCTTCATGACTTTATGTTAAAATTGTTTAAAACTAATTTAAGACCGTACCATTAGTTATTTTTCTCCACCCGAATTGTGTAGCATCTTCTTTGTCGCAAGTCAAAAGTTGGATATTTCCTTTGCGATCTTTGACTAAGAGGAAATCCCCTTGGTTTTGTTTAGTGCATGGACCAGGATTTTGATTATTAGTCACCTTGATTTTCTAAAATAGGTAGTATTGATGAAAAAGTCAGCTGTGACAATGGATGATTCCAGCTATAGAGTATTTTTTTTATCTAGGCAAGAAGAACAAAATGCATCGATCACCACAGCTAGAAAGAGCATGTTAAAATTATTCAAATTGCGAAGTGTGGTTGCGAAATGTTGTAAAATGAGCAAAATGTTGCCCTGCAAAAATTTCAAATTTTGTATTAATTTGTATTACGCATGGGAAAATGCACCACTTTCGGCCCAAATGTGGTGCATTTTCCCGCGCGTAATACAAATTAATTAATACAAAATTTGCAAATTTCGCAGGGCTATATCAATTTATCAATTTATTAAAAGATACCAATTTTGCAGTTAAGAACTGAATTACACTGGTTTACATGCATACGAGTAAAATGTCTACAAGTAAAATGTCTATATTTTGCGCATTTTACGACATTTCGCGGCCAAACTTTGCAATTTTACTAATTGTAACATGCTCTTTTTAGCTGTGGTGATGTATTTTGTTTATCTTGCTTAAATAAAAATTTAGTTTTAGCTGGAATTGCCTATTGTCCTTCTGGACACAAGTTAGCGTGATACTAGTAATAATATAAAAAAAACTACACTGTGATTGGTTGATTTTACTGCGGCGTGAAAAAATACTTGCTATGTATATATTCCAACTCGTTAGCCCACATTAAGTTCCTTGTTAGCTTGCATGCTGATAATCCTTGAGATTAGCGTGTACCGGGGGAGCTAATTATTTCGATAAGGTAATGGGTAAAGGAAAGCTTGCCGACCGTAGTGAAATGATTAACATGCATTGGTTGCGGACGAGTTGCTGTCGTTCAGGATTTGGTGCCCCTAGCCTTACAATGATCTCAAACTTTTGATGAATTATCAAGAGTGTATATAGAGCGTTATTTTCAGAATCCTCGAAAAAACAATTTCAAAAATGATTGTGAATAGTGCACTAGTCTTTCAGTGTAGCTATACTTTTTTTAATCAATATTTTTTTTTATAAAACACTAGGGCATCATTCAAAAAAGTGTAGAATTATTTCATTCCAAAGATTTCATTTCCGTGTCTTGTTTTCATGTCAAATAATTCAGGCACGCGACTACATTCCTGTGCCTTTTACTGTTAAAAACTTAAAATGTCAAACTACATTATTTTTTTAGCTAATTTCAGCACAATCTCCCGTAGACCAATCAGATGTAGCAATTCACAAAATTGTCGATTTTACGACGTTAGGAACTTAGGAATGTAGTCCCATTCCTGAATGTTTTGACTGAAAAACATAATGCGTTTTATTTCGTGCGAGAAGAAGGATTTATGATTTTGGTAATGCCAAAACCTACCAACCTCTCCCGTTGAGGCTGTACATGAAAATATTAAACCTCCATCTGCTGTATTGACCTCAGTCAATACAAACATACCTCAGTTTGTTATTTTCCCGTACAGCCTTCACTCTCGAAATACCAAAGAGAGCTCGATATCACATAGATAGATCAGAAACAGTAGTTTTACTTCAGAAGGTTGCCACAACACCCAAGAGAAATTAAACATCAGGTAGCTGACAGATTTCGAAAAGTGAGCAGGTTAAATATTTACGGTCGGAAACGTGGCCGTGTGGGCGTCAAGCAATACATGCATTCCTTTCATTGTTATCATTGTTTACTAGAAATTTCTTTTTATGATAACATGTCGAAAATATTTCCGATTTTTTGTTAAGTGAAAGTTCTTTGTTTGTTTTTTTCAAAATACAGAGTTTTTCCTCTCAACACAAATTACATCTTCTTTATCCTCCCGTATAAGAAACAGCGCGTTTTAGTATTGACGAAGTTATGTCGAATCTTGTTTGTTTTCTTTTAATTTTCAAATTTATTTCGAAAGTTCTATGTCGTGTTTTGTGATTGAAAGACCTATTGTGGTTTCAATATCGCTCTAGCGAAGGTGGCTGTTGTCATGCCAATGCAGTGCTTTATGTTGTTTGTTTGCTTGTTGTGACAGTTGCCATGTATACTATGTCCTTAGTCTTGCATTTTTTCAGGAGTGGGCATTGCGTTCCTAGTCCAACATTTGCAACTGTCTGCGTCTTTGCTCTGTGGCTGGTTTTTCCTAATTACGCGTGCATTATGTCAAGTAATGATGGACTTCACATTGTTCATGCAACTATAGTTGATCTTAATTAACTGTGTTTCTGTTAAAAAAATTGTGAACTTTGTGATGAGGCGGAAAATATTTATCAATCAGGCTGAGAAAATCGCGTCCTATGTTGGTTTTGATACTCTCACTGAATGGAGGGTTAAACCAAATGATGCTGCGTTGCCTATTTCTGCGTGGTTGATGTGGTGTTTCCTTCATGAAGCCTATAGTTTGTGATTGAAATTACTGTGACGAGGAGCAGTCTCCTAAAATGTTTGCTCGTCTGATGAGAGAAGTGAGATGCGCTTGTTTATGGATGTCGGTAGTTGTTTTATGATGCTAGGTGGGTGGTTCGAGTGTCTGTCTATGTATAATGGATCGTCATTGGGTTTCCTATAAGGTTTGTATTCTAGATCTCCATTGCTGAGGTCGAATTAGTGACATCTAAGAAGTTTACTACACGTAACTTTGCCTCTGACAGTGGCGGAAATTTTGGTGGGGCGGAGGGGGCGGCCGCCCCCCCCCCCATGGAAAATTGCCGAATTTTCGGAAATTTAGATGTAAAAGAGAGCTAAAAATAGTCTTTTCGAGTGCAAATGGGGGGGGGGGGGCATGTCGGAAATTTGATAGTTTTGTCGCAAATTTAGGAGGCTTTGCCCCCACCCCCACCGGAAAAAGTGAATTTCCGCCACTGGCCTCTGCTGTGATTTTTAAGTTAAATTTCTCGAATATTTTGTAGAGTTTTTTTCTAGATCTCGGTTTATCTGCCAAACGTGCTGATATATTTTTTTATGATAGCCAGTCCGCCGTCTCTATACAGGCCGAAGTTTTCTTTGCCGAACTTTTTCCCTAGATGGTTTAGTATATATATGAAAAGGCCTACAAGTTTACAAATTTACGTCAAATAAACTACTGCATGCTATCTCTTTTAATCCACGGTTTTCCATTATTGAAAAGTTGTGATTTCCTAGCGTCTTTTATTATCGAAATTTCGTCTTCAGCTATATCGGCAAATTTCAAGCCCAAGATAATGCTTGGGCCAGTAAATGTTGCGAAATTGAAGGGTAGAAATAAACTATATCAAACATAATAAAAGTATGCCTGTGTCTTTCCTTTATGTTGCCAAACCATTCAATTACTTTTTGCGTGTTTCTCCATTGATTTACTTTCAAAATTCTCTCAAATGAGAATTGATTTTGTCAAGAATTACTCTATTTAGTTTTCCATTCACTTTAAGCAAGATCACTTAGTCGGCATTTTAGACTGTTTTCGAAGTTTTCTTGTGATGGTCTTTTAGTGAAATAAATGCTTCGCGTTTTTTCATTTGTTCAATTCGGTTGCCAATCTCCAGTTTGTTTGAAATGCCCTTCAATTATCATCAATCTGCGAAATGGTGTCCTCTGATCCGTGTTTATATTTTTTTCTTATGTTGTCGTGCATAAGCTTGTCATATGCGTCGAGCGGTGTTTCATACTGAATTATATAATACCTGTTGAATTCTGATCGTGTAATTGGCTGTTTATGGTTACGTGATATTGAATAGAAAATTCCATTTCCCAAGAGTGCAATGGAACACGTTCTGCGAGTGCAATGGAATAAAACGTATAGTACAATTGCACTCTGTGTGTTCTCAATAAATCGCATCCCTCAAAATGTTTCTCATACATAAATCGCATCCCTCATAAATGCATCTCTTCAAATGCTCCTCATGAAAATATTCTTACTATTGCACTCATGAACATTCATTATTTGTATAATGTTTCTTGTTTTATCTGCGAAAACAAAATTGTTGGAAGATGAGTTAATTTTCTTTAGGACACGCTTTTTTTTGTTGGATTACAGATATCCCGATCTTGTATTTTTAAAAAGCAGAAAAAAATATATAATAATAATAATAATAATAATAATAATAATAATAATAATAATAATAATAATAACTTCTTTATTTAAACTGGTAAAAACCGATCAGCTAACAAAATATCAGCTGGTATAAACCGATGATCAGCATTAACTGATATAAATAGTTTACATCCATAATACTATATATTATCTAAAAAAACCACACCACATGCAATATTAGAATAGATGAAAAAATGTTTAAAAAAAAAAAAAATATTTAGTGCTAAGAGTTACTATATGCTACAACGATGTTCGTGAGCATCAGTTTCTAAGAAAAACTTAAAAATATTGTTTTTAAAGGAGGACAAATTAAAGTCTTTAAGTCTCGTAAGTGTTTTGGCAAGGCTGCAAAACTCTAACCGCTGCAAATTCCCCTTTCCGCATTCTGCCCAAACCATACAGCCGTAATCTAGTACTGGTAAAATGGTTTGTTTATATATCCTTAATAACGTTCAACCATCCAATTTTACCAATCGTTCAAAAAACAAGCTAAAATTTATTATCAAACACAAAAATAATAATACAGCATTATATTATATTATTCATGGACGTCTAAAACAATGTAGGGTAAAAACAATGCTTCCATCATCATGCACTCCTAACTTCGTATTTGTTGTATATCTATATTGTTGTAAAACTATATCACAACTTTCTTTAAAATTTTATGTACTATATATTAACTGACAAATAGCTAAGGTTGAATTTAATATTTGCTGTAATAGGGGCCTTGCACTAAAAGCTTCTTAAAGTTTCTTAAAGGCTCCTAGCTCTAGTATTCAACAGACGTTATACTGTATATTCTATCTTAATTATGTAAATAGGGCGAATTTTTAAATTAAAAAAAAAAAAATAACGTCTTACAGCTAAGGAATGCCGATATTCGGTTCAGTATTTTGAGCTTAGAGTGATAAATTCGACACATGTTTTTTCCATGTCAAACAGCTATCAATGTCTACACCGAGGTATCCAAAATGATCTGACTGTTTCAATATTTCCCCGTTTAATTTAACATGTAAATCACGCGCGTTAGCCACTGAATATCTGGATCCTATAACCATGACTTCCGTCTTCTTATGATTAATTATCAGACCGTACTGATCAAGCCAAGAATCAATATGTTTAAGGTCTTCATTGACACATTGTTCGGCTATGTTACAAGGGCGGATCTAGGGGTGATCAGAGCGATCACGCGACTAAGGTAAAAATTGGCCAGGAAAATGGGAAATTGTTAAATTAAAATAGCAGTCCAGTTATCAAACTTCGCGCAGTGTAATGTATTGAAAGTTTAACAGTCCAGTTTTGAAATATCATTCAGTATCAAGAACTTCGAACATGAACGCGCAGAAAAGCGGTCTTACGCATGAGTTTTGCACGCTCTGAGTCATATTCCAGCCATCTGATTGGCTATCTCGATTTTTGCGCGATCTGTGGGGAGTTCTGATCGCTAAAGCGATCAGGGGCTCGAATACAGGCTATCCGATTGGCTAATTCAAAACAATCCTGAATTCCCATTGGCTGGATTTTTTTGATCGATCATACCGTTCAGGCTTCATTAGTGCACGGAAAGGTCTATGACGTTTCTGATCGCTACTTTGCCTTGAGCGCAAATTATTAAAGTTCAATGGGAAGATTTACAATCAGAAATTCTGAACTAATACCAGCCATGTCTTTTAGTATTTACGAAACTGTAAAGGCTGCTTTAGACAATACGATCGACAAAATGTCAAATATATTGAAGCTGATTTAAACAAGCGATAACGGTGTACCGAAGTTTTCTATTAAAGATTTATTGAGCGTTGTGAATAACATAAGCAGCCTTCCTCGCACGAAATTTTGGTGCGGAATCTTACATCCTGAAGTACGTTCGAGAGAAGACAAAAATCTTTTCTACGGCCTTAACTTAAGATATATATATTCTATTTTAACTAGATATAGCATTGTAACTGTTGTATACTGTGGCGGATTGTGCGTCTGTACGCACATGCATACTATAATATCGGCGGGTACGCGTATAAGACGTATCATAATACGAGACGAAATTTACATAATATTTCCGTCAATTTATATAAATACTGCGGCTTAATACAGGCAGTTTCAGTGTGTTTATACTTTGTTTATGCTTCTTGTGACATATAGACTTTACACATTAACCAGATCGCTACTTAATAACACTGTTTATACCTATTTAATATTTTAAACTACAAGACCACGACAATGTAGCATGGCCTTGTGTAATACGATCTCTACAACATATACACAACAAGTAAAATGGATCATGTTGCCATTGTGAATACTTATTTATGGCGCATGTTTCTGCTACGGATGAAACTCGAGGAGCAGTGAATTAAACGTGAAAATTCTCTTTCTGCTTAACAATCAATCAAATGTTTTAAACTGCATCACCATATTGCATTTTTTTGACCATCCATGTCAAAGGAAAAAATATGCGATTAAATAACAATTTTTAAAATGTCAAGTCATCCTTGTCAATCTATTTCTTGATGAGAATTGGATATCTGTTTGACATTTGGCGAAAAAGCAATTTTTTAAGTTAAATTTTTTCGTAAACAGAACACATGTAAAAAATATTAATTTTCTTGGCAACCCCTCCCCCCTCCGACCCCCTGTCAAAAGTACCTCCTCCGCCAGTCTAAAGTACCCCCCTCCCCAAATGTTCAGCAACGAAATTTTTGACTAACGTACGAAAAATCCTAGATCCGCTCCTGCTATGTTAATATATTTCGAGGTAGCATAAAGTTCAGTGTCATCAGCCTACAGTGAACCTTTACTCTTTTGACAAACATTGAGAATACCATTAACATGAATATTAAACAATGTTGGGCCGAGGACAGACCCTTGGGAAACTCCGTGTGTAATATTCCGATGATCTGATTCTGCTCCTCCACTTACGACGAACTGACGTCTGCTCGAGAGGTAACTTCTGAACCATTCAAGTTCATTATCCTTTACACCATGTTGTTTGAGCTTGTGTAGTAAGATGTCATGATCTATAACATCAAAAGCTTTACGAAGATCAAGAAAAGCACAAACAACTTTTTCGCCTTTGTCGATTGCTAATTTCCAAGCATCAACGGCTCTAATAAGAGCTACTGTTGTAGAGAAGTGTTTAACATAAGCATATTGATGCTGGCCGATAAGGCCAACATTTTGTGCAAAAGCTTGAAGGTTTGAATTTGCGAAAGATTCCTGGATTTTAGAGATACATGGCAGTACTGATATTGGTCTTTGATTGTCACGCTCAATTTTCAATCCTCCTTTATATAATGGAGTTACCTTCGCTACTTTCCATATCGAGGGAAATTTACCGCTCATATATGATGCGTTGAATATGTTCGTCACAACTTTACTAATGTAAGGTGCGGCAATCTTTAGAACTTTAGCAGGAATATTATCTGCACCGGTAGCTTTAAATGAATCCATCGTTTGCAGGGCATAGGACACATCTGCTTCGCACAAGGATTGAAATTTAAAAGTACTTGTGGGATTGTTTATTGGTTGTTTAATTGGATATAGTTCGGTATCCAATGATGGTCGATTTCCCAGAAGCGTTGATGCAATAGTCGTAAAATATTCATTTAATGAATTCGCTATATCTTTCTTGTTTGTCAGTTCTTTCTCATTTACCACTAGCTTGTTTATTAAGCTTCGATTACTTTTAGACGGTAGAACGCTACGAAGTATATTCCAAAAAGCACGGGGATTACTACGATTTTCATTAAGCTTATTAGAGAAATAGTTCCTCCTAGCCTTCCTATTTACGCTCGTCACTCTGTTCCTAAGATGTTTGTATTCGTTCCAGTCACAAATCAGTCCTGATTTTACTGCTTTTTTATGAGCTTGGTTGCGAGCTCTCATCAATCGAAGTACTTCACCATTCAGCCATGGATGCGTTTGCTTTCGTATGCGTTTCCGTCTTAAAGGAAAGTGTTGTTCAATCAATGATTTCATCAATAAGTCCCAAGCAGAAGACATATCGTCGATCTCATCAAAAGTCTCGGTCACACTCCATGGAGCTTGTTGCAAGCTAACCACAAAGTCATTGACGGAAGTTTCATTCCAGGACCGAGTTGTTATTATCTTATGTTTATTAGGTCGAGTCGTTTTACCATGCATAATGCCAAAGATGGGATAATGGTCGCTAAGAGCTGTAGTTAGAACTCCTATACACCCTTAGAAAGACAGGGCGTCGAGGTGATTAAGACGTCTATTAATGATTGTCTATTGTTTGTTACCCGAGTTGGTTTTTTAATGAGTTGTTCTAAACCATTAACCATGAGGAATTCAAATAGTCTTTCTGTTTGTTTAAGAGACGCGTTGAGACAATCACAATTTAAATCCCCGAGGATAATGGTCTCATAATTGTTTTGTGTAGCATACCTAAGCGTGTCATCCATATAGTCAAATATTTCTAAAGATTCGTCTGGAGCCCTGTAAACGCATCCGAGCAAATATTTAATATTCCGAATTCGAGTTTCTATCCAGATTGCTTCAATAAATGCCATTCATCAGTTTTGATGTGTTGTTTTTTCTTCATCCGACCATATTACTATATTAGTATTTATTTTCCCACGGCAAGACACCCAAAAATATAAAATGTGCGAGAATAAAGTCAGGTTGGCGTGCAGGCTAAACCTTCAACACGCAATTGTCACGCATGCATGGTCACGCCACGTGAAGCATGGCCGAAGAAGGCGATGTTTCCTTCGCTGTTCTTTGCGTACTCTTTGAATTTGGATGTACACGTCACTGTGCGTGTGGTATTAAATAATAGACAATTCTTTCTTCTTTTCATTTTTATTTTTTTGCCCTCCCGCCCTTTATATTGGCGAGCAAACTCCGTAATCCAACAACAAAAAAGCGTTTCGAAATTTTATGTTTTCTGTAAGGTTGAAAAGATCGTTCTTCGAAAGGTTTTATATCCAAAATAGCGGGAGGTGTTTTGGTGGAAGGTATTAGGCCGAAACGGTTACTTTCATTCGAATTTTTATCATCACCTGAGAAAAAGTTAGCTTTCCATCTTATGCGTTTTATTACACTTTCCACTTTGTCAATCAAATTTCTCAAATAAGCATCCTGGGATGGTATAGGAATGTTTTCAATGAGTAGTCAAATCGAAATTGACTCATGTTTTAAGGGTAAATACGGTAGTAGCTTAGGAAAACAAGAGTGCATTGTTTAAAGTGCATATGACATAAAATTTCTTATTTTCTTAAATGAAAGAACTCTTTAAGCTGTAGTGTAACTTATTTTTCAGTTTCTTGTTTTTATGGTTTGTTCCCGAGATATTTCAATTTGTTTGATATGTAAATGAGTGTGAATATGTCCGCTAATTTATGACGTCATGTTGGTTGCAAGCTCTTCAAAATGGTTGAATATCACTGCTATCATTCAAGATGATAATTTCAAACTTCACTCATTGGTAAATGTGATGAAACACTGTAGAAAAACGTGAACAGATATCTACAGTTTTTAGAGTTAATAGATTTATAACCAGTGTAAGTTGAGCTTACATGAACCAACGTGACGTCATAAATTAGCGGACGTTTTCACACTCATTTACATATCAAACAAATTGAAATACCTCGGGAACAAACCATGAAAACAAGAAACTGAAAAATATGTTACAATACAGCTTAAAGAGTTCTTTCGTTTAAGAAAATAAGAAATTTCATGTCATATGCACTTTAATAGAAATTTCTTTTTGTGATTATACATGTCGAAACTATTTCCGATTTTTTGTTAAGTGAAAATTGCTTGTTTTTTCCTTCAAAAAACAGAGATTGTCCTCTAAACACAAATTACACCTTTTTTATCCTCCCGTATAAGAAACAGCGCGTTTTAGCATCGACCAAGTTATATCGAAATCTTTCTTTTAATTTCCAAATATATTTCGAAAGTTCTGTGTCGTTTGAGTATTTTTTGTAATTGAAAGACCTATATTGTGGTTTCGGTATTGCTCTTTAATTAAAGGTGGTTGATGACATGCTGATGTATAGTCCTTTATGTTGTTTGCGTTGCTTAATTGTTGTGACAGTTGCATGCCTTGTATCCCAAGGGACCTCCGAGTTTCGATAGTGTATTATTTGTCAGGCATGCAAGAATATAAAGCTCGGGAAATAATAAACTCAATCCCCTTTTCAACAGATAACCACCCATGAGTACATTATGTCCAAGAAGTTGTAGAACATATTTAATCTTTAATCTTTAATCTGATACTCCTAAATAAGCTTACACTATACTAGGAGATACTTATATATATACATGTATATACATTAACAAAATAACTATGAACTATATATATGAAAAACTTTAAAAGGTAAAAATGTACAATAAAAGTGACCTGCCAAAATCATGCTGATGCCCTTAATGCAGTTAATGCCGCACTTTTAAAAGCGTTGATATTTGCAGGCAGTTCAATAAAAGGGAGATTGTTCCAGGTTACAATGGTTCTTGGGAAAAATGAAAATTTAAAAATATCATTGTTACAAGAAACTTGCTGAAAGGGATGGTGATTTGGAAGTCGGGTTTTTCTTTTTATAGGGCACACTTCAGGAAGGAAGTTTAAATCAACGCAGCCTTGGTGGATCTTATAGAACATACACGACTGATTAAGCAGTCTACGTCGTTCAAGTGAGTCCCATCCTAAATTGTTGATCATTGGGGAAACATGGCTGTATCTGGAAAAGTCATTGTTAACAAATCTTGCGGCGCAATGTTGAATCATTTCAATCTTCTCAGAATTCCGTTCCAAGGGTTCCAAACGCAACTAGCATATTCAAGCTTAGGGCGGACTAGACTGAGATAGGCTCTAGCTTTAACTGTAGGAGAGCAGCTTCCTACAAGACGCGTTTAAGTAGGCCAAGGGTGGAATTTATGGCTATGGAGCCATTATCTGGTTTTTGCCACCTTATAGTTCCGATTTGAATCCAATCAAAGAAGTTCTTGTGAAAGTTAAACACTACTTGTGACAGAACGATTCAGCCCTGCACACAATACGAGATCCTAGCCCACTTATCTGGAATGCATTTGGGCAAATAAAATCTTGTGACTGCCAGGCATATATGCATGATACTTGCTATATTTCACTATAGGTAGTCGATCAAAGCTTTTGTTTAAAACTTGATGAATACATATATGCAACTCGACGTCTCACAGGTTATATGTATCTAACACTTAAGCCGTTATATAATCATGTTATGTTCATAAAGTGTTGGCAGAGTAAAATGCGCGGGACCTCATTCTGTAACTGAAATTATACACTTAAGTTAGCAAATATTGCTTCGTGTATACAGCTATTTCAATTAAGGTTGTCCACGAGCAAAGCGGAAAGTCGAATACGAGCGCGAAAGGCTGCTGGGAATAGCTAACAAATTAATGAATTTTCAAAGCGTTCTCAGCAGCCTTTCGCGCTCGTATTCGACTTTTCCGCTTTGCTCGTGGACAACCTTAATTGAAATAGCTGTATATATGGCGTCCGTTTCAAAATTCATTAAGTTTTAAACAACCTCAACTGCTCAAATATGCATATATGCCTGGCAGTCACTAGATGTTATACGCCCAAATATTGCTATTTTATCTAGCTGTATCTGAGGTATGCAAAATAAAGTCAATCATAAAATACTCGTCACGGGTAAATAAAAGATTAAAAGTTATGCTCCCATGCAGTTGGGCAAGATTTCACATCATCCGTGTTCCAAAACGTGCTAATCGTCCGATAAACAGTCTTTGGACAAACAAATAGCTGTTAAAAAGTCTTTGGTATACCATTCTCCAGTGTAAATCATCCGCATACGCCGACTTGGCATTTTATAAAAATTCACCACACTTAAAGGGGCAGTGTCACGGTTCTACTGCGCAACCAAAATATGCGCGAACTTCAAAAACTGTCTGCCAACAATTAATCAAGTTAGGAGTGAAATACGATATACTATTTAAAATCCCTTCGTTATGCCGGACATCCTTGCTTTATTTTAAAAATTGAAGGCTGCTGCATCGTTTCCAATCATGTATCATTAGTTTTAAATGTTCCTTTGCGCCGTTTATTTTAGTCAATCAGCGCCGTGACACTGTCCCTTTAATCGATCCCGCAACTATATATGCACTGTTCAACCCCACGCGAGTTGACGCATATAATAATAGTTATGTATTCGAAATTGATATGTTTAGATATACAGGGTGTATGAAAAAAACCTGAACAGATTTGAAATTGCTCTAAATTTCGCGAAACAGCTATTAGTATATCCAGTTTATATATATATATATATATATATATATATATATATATATATATATATATATATATATATATATATATATATATATATATATATATATATATATATATAGCAGCTTTATTCCGGGGTTAGGGTTAGGGGTTAGTGGTTAGGGCGGTGGGGGTTAGAGGTTAGGGTTAGGGTGGGGGTTAGGGTTAACAACCCAGTACCTTATTGCTAATAACGGTTAACAATTTCAATACTATATTGTTGATAACGCAAGAAGCGCCTGTTATGCTTGCGGTTTTCTTTCCTGTAACAACCCAATAACTTATTGGGTTGTTAAGCTTAACAATTACAATACTATATTGTTGATAACGTGCGGAACGGGTGGAACTGCCCACTTTCTGTAAGATATCCGCTGACAATATGAGCCCGCACGAGTTGGAGAAATTTTGCTAAATTTGACCAACGTGTATAGGCAAAGTGCGTTGATCGAAATGTGTTGCTTTTTTTGAACGTGTGTTAATTTAATACTCTACAATTTTTTAAGGAGTGCAAAAAATATTTACAGAATAAATGTGTGTTTGGAGAACACGCGTTGAGGAACACAGCTCTTGTGTCGTGTTACCAGGGGCGAAACTTGAGGGGGGGTATGGGGGATGTGACCCCCCCAAAACTACGAATCATCTGGTTTGGCAGGGCGAATCATCTGGATTGGCAGGGCAATTAAAAATTTTGGGCTTCAGGGCTTCCAGAGGGACATAAATAGAATTTATATATAGACCTAAATTTTACAGATATTGGTCCAAAAATAAGGGTTTCACGCATGTTTTAACAGGAATTTGTACGAAAAAGAATTTTTTACCCAAAATTTAACTGGCTTATGTCCGGAAAAATTTTTTCGATCCTTTTTGAATGTCCCAAAAAATTTTTCACCTCCCCTCCAACATTTTTGGGAAAAATAGTGACCAAAAAAAAAATTTGCTGCAGGGCATCACCGACTTTTGCAGGGCAATTCTAGCAGACACACCCCTAATTAAAGGGGCTAGTTTCGCCCCTGCGTGTTACACGCTATGGAGTGTAATGCAGCACGCCAGGTGTGTTATTGAAATTTTAGTCAAAATTTTATGCACCCGCAACACATCTTGTGTGTTGCATAACACAACATTTCGTGTTATTTGACACACTTTCG